GGGGGGGGAAGCTTTACACAAAACAACATCCAGAAGGGGCCCTACTCCAAACTCTTGCTCAAAATCAGGATTGTCCCCAACTAAACCATCCCTTTCAAGTGTGTCTAACCTGGTCTTAAACTTCCAAGGAGGGAAATTTCACAACCTCTCTGGGTAACCTGTGCTTAGTTACTTTCATTAGGAAAATGTTCTTCCCAATCTCCAACCACTGTACCTAGTCTTGACCCCTGAGGTACAGAGAACAATCTATATATCCATCTACCATACGACCACACTCCACTTATCTGTTATTATGTGCCTGCCCCTTCACTCATCTTTTCTCCAGCCTTAGTTCTTTCAGCCTTGTATGTCAAGTTTCTCAGTCCTCTAATTATTTTCACTGCTCTCTGCTGGACTCTTAATTTTCTCAAATCTTTCTTGAAGTGTGGGAGCCAAAGTTGGACAGAGCTCTCCAGGTGAAGCCTCATGTGTCCAAACAGAGGAAAAGTATGACTTCCCTTGGTTTGCTAGTGATACTGCTGTTAATACAACCCAGAATGCTACTATTGCAAAAACACCAAAAGTACACTGTTAGCGTTTATTCAGCTCATCGTCCACTGTAATCGCCAGGACTTTTTTCTGCAGTACAGGAGCCTAGCCAGTCATTCCCCAGTCTGAATTTATACATGCGATTGTTCTGCTACATGTTCACTCAATCCCATCTTCCAAATGCTAACCAACTTCCTTAGGTGCTTGAGAGCCCTAAACACCTAGGTTTTCACCAAAAAATCCACTTAGCTGCCTAAAGTTCAGATATCATGATGCATACCCAGAGGCACTGCAATCTTGGCTCATCCTAAATACTTGGCTTTAAACCCTTCTCTCATGCCTAACTCCATGTAGTCTTCCCAAAAATCCCCATGCCTAAGTCCCCTGAAGGGTCTGATTTTGTTAGGAGTAATCAGAACACATGCAAAGAGGCTTATTAAATCTGCAAAGAATGTAATACTTGGTCACCCTCATTCAAGAACATGGGCAAAACTACCTTTTATATAGTTACCTAGTGATTAAAGGCCTTGTGAAGGTACAGGGAGATCTGGTTCAAAACCATATTTCCAACTTATTCTATTAGCCTAGCAACTGAGCTGGGCTTTAGGCACTCTCCTCTCCACAACTGAAGCTGGACCACTGAGTAAAAAGGATTCCAAGACTCCAAGAGGCAGGTAGCACAGTGCTGAGGGCACTTGCCTGGGAGGTGTGGAAGTACTGGGTTCTAAAAACCCTTTAAGCATTTTGCATTAGAGAATCAGGATAAAAGGCATAAACAAAATTGGAAGCAGGGAACAGAACCTCCCAAGTTGGGTACCCTTTTCCCTGGCCTTAAAAACCCTTTGTGAATTTACTCTCCAATTTATTTTAGAGAGTTCTGTAGTAGACTTAGCATAAAGGTTGCCCTGCTGGTAATGAACTGTACACACAAATTTCACCACCTAATCATAAGGAGAATCTTGCAAGCTGTTGTATGCAATTATTTGGAACTTTAAAATATTTGCCAATCATCTAGAATTGAAACACTTTGGTCAAAAATTCTTACAGCCGCAAAAACACGCCTTAATATTTTACTCTGTAAAAAGAATATCAATGAAACATCTAATAATATATTTCCCCATGTATTATCCTATTCTTTATCCTCCTATGGTTGGCTTTCCACTGTATCATTGTTTTCTTTATTGGTATAATACAATACAGGGGAGAAAGCATTTAATGAAAATAAGCACAGTGGGTTTTTTATTCTTAAATAAAGACTTCTCTGCTCCTGATATCTGAGGGCACACAAATGCTTACTGCGGTCTTGGTCAGTTCCTGCTCCTTGTCAATTAAGGGCACAGGAAAGTAACACAGAGTAGAAACGTAATATCCTACATCTTCTCCAGGGTAACTGTCCCTGTGCGCTAAATTATCCTACAGCAAGAATTAAATTAGGGGCATGGACAAACGTACACTTGGAGCAACTTCAAAAGGGAACGGGAAACTGCTGCTCAGGAGCATGCAGCAACTGTTACGCTGTAATTGTTCCATGTACACCAGTCTAACCATACATAACTGGCCCATCTTTAATCTTGGACTAAACAGATTACAATTGGAATAGCTTTGCTACATTTGTATTGCTACAGGCTCCTGTATGCATTCTGCTACAATGTACACTGAAGCAGTTTGTCCATGCCCTGGGACAGCTTACTCTTGAATGAAAACACCCTGCCTCAGTTCAGCTTTCACTTAATGTGGGGTAATTGCAGACACGGGGACAATTACCACAGAGAAAGTAAGGCATTAGTAACAGTCCTGCCCCCTGTAACTTGCAGACACACAAACAGTTATTGTGTGTATGAAATCAAATAAAGTTATCGCCACTTAGAAAGGAGGGGGAGGAGATTTGAGAACTACAGGTTTACAGGCAGGTTGTACACATACAGAATAAAATTCAGGAACCCCAGATTTAAAATCATAACACTCTAATGGCCAAGCTACAACTCCTAGATCTGTTAACTAATTATCATTATTTGATTTATATCCTGCCTTCTCCAAAAGAAGCTCAAGTCTGAATAGAAGTAGTGTCCAGATCTCCTTATTGCTTTCAGACTGCTTACTAAAGTATTTTTCACACACCTTAAGAACTTTAAAAAGGCACTTGGTTCCAACTCTAACAGCAATTCTTTTGTATCAACAGTTCAGCACATCTGTCATAGTCAATTTATTTGGTGTATTATTCTGTCTCAGCTTTGCTGAGGTCATTGTTAAGTTTTCAAAAAAGGTGAAAAAAGACGTGCAACACCTAAGTGCTACCTCTGCCTAAATGAGTTTGGAATAACTGGCAGAGGAGGAGCAATGAAAGTAAGGGTATTTAATGCTGTAGATTCTTACTGAAGTGATGATTCAACATGCTTTAAAAGAGTCATAACTGGTACTATTATTCTCAGTTAAATCAACAGTATGTTTGACATCATAATTGATATTCAATAAAAATAAAGGCCTCCCCTTTTGATTAATTAATGATGAAACCCCACCCAGCTCAAAAGACTGATTGTTTTTACTTTTTCATTGGCAACATCAGCCAGCTCTACAAAGCTCTTCAGTTTGATTTCAAAATCACTCATCAGCTTCCACTGGTCTCCTTCAATTCCTACACCAACTTTTTTAATTGTTTCATCTTCCAGCAATCTTTTGAGTCCTGTTGGAAAACCTAAAACAGATCAAAGGTCAAAGTATAACCAAATATATGACAAAAGACATCAGGACTTATGTTCATATGGGAACAGGTAGATTCATATCAAAAGGATCAACTAGGGTAATCCTCATTTTTTAAAGTAATAGCCAAATAAATGGTCACTATGTCCAAATCTATAAACATGCTAACAAAGAAAAAGTAATGCCCAAAGTGACTATAGGAAGCAATTATAATGCCAGAGTACAACAGTCCTTTTTTTTGGGTAACTGAAAAACTGACTGATTTTTAATATTTTCTGTATAGGCAAAACACTGATTTTATGCAAAATTATTTTCCACATACAAAAACATTTTTTTTTTTTTTCGGACAAGGCTGTCTAATGTACCTGTGGCCAGGGGCCACAGGCCCCCATCACACTGTGCTGCATGTGTCTCCACCACCATATTGCATGCCCCTTCCCCTCTTATTTCACTGTGTCAGCACTCCTTTGCTATCTGAGGTCCCCCTGCAAACCTCTTAGCCACAGGCTGCCTCAGCCCTGCAAGCCACCTCGCCCCAGGAGGAAGGGGGAAAGAGACTCCAGTTGTGACCACAGCAGCTGAAGTGGTGGGAAGAGCAGTGCCCAGACCAGAAGACCAGGGGCTGCAGGTTAACCCCCTTGGGAACCTTATGCAGCCCATGGGCCACCAATTGGACAACCCTACTATAAGGCAATCAGGAAGGAAAAAAAAGGCAATTTCTTTTGATACATGATTTCTGACCTGTACTGCTGAAAAAGAAAATTCAGTAAAACACAACTGTATTTTTACATAATTATTCCCAGTACTGAAATCCTATGCAGTTTAAATACTAATTTAAAACAGAGTCAACTGCAAATGCAGGGGAATATGCAAATAACAGATCCCACAAATCCATATCAAGTTCTAATAGGGTTACCATACATCCAGGTTTTCCCAGACATGTCCTCTTTTTGGGTCTTCCCATTTCTGGGTGTTTTTTTTAAATCTGAACAAATGCCTGGGATTTTGCTCTGCGCCACTGGTGGGAGCAGGGGGAGGGCAATTAGAGGCAAGAGGCATACATGTGGCCAGCATCCACCCATGCAGGGTGGTAGGAGCAGCCTTGGCATCTGGATGCAGGTAAGTCTATGGGGGCAGGGGTTGGAGGGCCAGAACCCGGGGGTGGGGGGAGTGGAGGGTGTGTACCCACCTGCTGCCACTGGCAGAAGCTGCCAGGGCTGCAGCTGGGCATGGGAGAGGCACCTGCCCCTCCAGCAGGGGAAGGAGGTAGAGGGGCCATTTTGGGGGCGGCAAGAAGCTCTGTGGCCAGGCTGGGGCACCAAGGCTGGTGTCCATGCTCACAGAGGCGGGGCAGCTGGGAGACACTGCCTCGGAGGCAGGGTGGGGTGGGTCTAGCCAAGCTGCCTGGCACAGTATGGATACCCCAGCCCAGGGAAAGGGGTGCCACAGACATCTCCTCCTCCTCCCTCTAGCCCATGCCAGGGCCAGACTCACTCTGCCACTGCCCGCACTAGTTGGAGCCACTGCACTCTGGGCTAGGTGGATGGGGGCATCTAGGTGTCCCCTCTTGCACAGCTGCAGGGATTAGGGTGCTGCAGGTCAGGAGTAAGGGGCACCAGCAGTGCCAGGGGGATGCGGGTTGGGAGTAAGGGGTACCAGCATGGCCCAGGGTACTGGGGGGAGGGGGGGGAGGGGCACTAGCAGCGCCAGGGGGCTGTGGGTTGGGAATGAGGTGTCTTCTTTTTTGGAACTGGAAATATTGTAACCCTAATTCTAATATGTGCATTATTGTTCAGTTAGTGTGCTTGGAAAACACACAATTAGAAAAGCAGATCTCCTCAAAAATCCAAGTGGATCAGCATAATATGCAAAAGCAGCTTATCCCCTGGCAAAAACCCCATGCAAGAGTTCAGAACACAAGACTGTCACACAATTCTAGGGGTAAGAAAAAACTCCATTTACACTGTTTCCCCAACTGGGAAAGCCAAGAGTTATCTATGACACCACATATCTTTAGAAGTACTGTGTGTCAAATGTTCCCAAGAATTTTAATAAATTAGAACATTTTAAATACAAATTAATTCAAGAATGTATTGTTTTCTCCTATGATTGGTCAAGCATAAACAGAATTTTCAATTATCTAGCAACACCATAATTAAAAATTAAACCAAAAAGAGGGATTTCAATCCTATATATTGCACCTGGAAGTTTGGTTAAGGCTAGGTAGAACCAATGAGAAGTTTGTATATCAATGCAAAGAATCTAGGCAATAAAAAAGGAACTGTAAACTTCTTGTGCGGGACACAAAACTGGACATTATAGGAATAATGGAAAGAGGTAGAATATTTCACAAAACTGGAATACAGGAATTATGGAGTGCAAGCTATTTAGAGGGAAAGAACCAAAAAGGAAAAGGTGTTCAGGAGAGCATTATCAAAGGAGTGGCAGATTGTAACAAAATATAGTGTGATAGCATAGACAAAACAGAGTCTGTTTGGGTGAAAAAAAGAAAAAGAAAAAAAAATTAGATTAGGGAGACACAACAAGAGCACTAGAAGGATTGAGCACGGGAAAGGAGTGGTTATAGGCACCCTGGTTCAGATTTAGAAATGAAAAGGGATTTCTATAATATCATAGAAAATGTGTAATAATGGAAACTGCAATTATGAGAAACTGATTTCTTCAATATAGATTGCACAACAAGTACTACCAACAGCAGCAGACTACAGATATTTTGGATGAGTTAGCTGATAGCTAATTCCAGTAAACAGTCACTGTATCAAGAAGAAGCAATGCTGTCACAGACCTAGTTTCTGCATACAATGAGGATCTTAGAGAACTGGCTGTAAAAGTTAATCTTGGGTCAAGTGAACATGAATTGATTCAGTTCAGTTTAAACCACAGAATAGATCTGATCTGCATCTGTGGTTTTGTATTTCATAAGGGCCAGCCTTGAGAAACTAAAGTCATTGAGGTCATTTGATTTGAGAACTGGTGAACTTTGATTCAAGAGAGGCAGGGAATTAATTTAATGTGCAAACTATCATGAAATGAGGGGTTGGAAGCAAGTTTAAAAGTCATGGGACCTAAGGAAGGGCAGTATGTGATTGAAAGCTGGTCAGTTTTTTAAGAAGTCTATCTAGTTGGTCTAATAAAACTTCATGACAAAAATACCCTTGCTTCTTGTACTTTTCCTGGATGCCAACCCTATTTAAAAGTAATCCAATCTAAACACCTGAACAAATGCAGACTGCACTATTCCTAAAGTACCCAGCTTTTTCTTGGAAGCCTTTAATGAAAGGGATTTCCCAATCTATCTAGGCAACTGGTTCTATTGTCCTACTGTTCTGAAAGAAAGAGTTTTTACCCTGAGATTTAATCTAGATCTATTTTGGTCCCTCTCAAAACTGTGGTACAAATACGTTGGAATTTAGACATAATGCCTTTTTACGAAGTGCTTTGCAAATGGCTTCTGCATTAGCTTCTGCACATAGATTGAAGCCTGCTTTACACTTAAAACTTCGCGACCATACCTTTTCAGTGACCTAGAGTTACACGAAGATGAGGGGTTACTAGAGGACAGTTCCCCCTGTTAAAAACACACGGGTGCTGTAACATAACCCATAATAAATTGAGCATAGCCTGAAAACTCAAACATCCTGCGGAAGCTTAAGCATAACTCTGGAAACTTTGACATCCTACGGAAACTTAGACGAAACAGTAGAAGCTGTAAGACTGCCAATAGTTGCATGACACGCTAAGGTTCTTTGTTTAGGTAAGCTATAAAAGGGACCCTTGGACAAAACCCGGGGTCGACTCTGCTTTGGGCGACTCAGCCCCTTTGTCGATCTGTTTGCGCAAACAATAAACTTGAAATGGACCCAGCCTGAGTGTAGATTGGAAAGGCCTCCAGGGGCACGAAACTAGCCGTTTGGGCAACAAAACTCACTACTTTCTGTCCTGTACTCTGTGGCAAGGGCAAATGGCTGCTCTCTCTCTTCTTTATGGCAGCCTTTCAAAGATTTGAAAACTACTATTGGGTCTCTGCCCCTCACCCCCAATCTCCTTTATTTATTTATTTATTTTACAAACTAAACCCACAAACTTCTCTCAATCTTACCTCATAGTGCTTCTGTGCCACCCCTTTACCATCTTTGCTTGTCTCTGAATCTTCTCCAGTTTCTCTATCCTTAAAATGCAGAGCCCAGAGTAACATACGGTACTCTAGCCAAGGCCTAACCAGTACCAACTACAATGGCACAATTACCTTCTGCATCATGGATACAAAACCCCTGTTAATGCAGTCCAAAACTGCTTTTTTTGGAAACTATCACTTTGTTGACTCTTAATGTTAAGTCTGTGGTCCACCATAACTCCCAGATCCTCCTCAGCAGTGCTACTTAGCCAGTAATACCCCATTCTGTATTTGCGCACTTGAGCTTCCTGCCGTTGGTGAAGTCTCACACTTATCTTTACTGAATTACATTCTTTTATCTAGTGCCCAGTTCTTCCATCTATCAAGATCTTTTTCAATTCTAATCCTACCCTCTAAAGCAAGGATCAGAAACCTACAGACCACAGATCCAAGTGGTTTTGACTGCATTTGGCAGTAGGGGACTTTGCCCATGTCATAACCAGGAATCCAGGTTTCCCATTTCCCATGGGAAAACAGAGAAAAAAGTGGATTTCCCCCGTTACCTGAGGAAAACACTAATTTCTCATTTTAACAGAGAAACCCACAGATTTTGCAGTTTTACAAAGAGCTCTCTGCAGGCTGACAAAGTTCCAGCCTGCAAGGGGTTGGAGGGGGAGCGGTATGAGGGTGGTCAGGCAGCCTGGAAAGCAACTCCTGCAGGTAAGTCAGGGGGGAGGGAAACAGGGGAACTGAGGCCCCCATAGGCAGAGAAGGAGGAAAGGAGGTGGGCAGGGCTGAGGCAGAGGCTGGGACTGCTGCCCAGCTGGGTGGTGCTTGGAGACCCAGGCAGGA